CTCGCTCGAGGTTTTTACGACTAGTCAAACCTTCATCTACATCGTCTTTAAAATTCGTTTGTATCGCTCTGGATGCAGAAACATGCTGCTGTTCCGTGTGTTAGTGGTGTTGATTCTTCATATGAACGCGCACTGCATGTCTCTGAACTGGACATCACGTGACAGACCAAACCTAGTCATGCTCATGTCTGATGCCTTCGTAAGTCATTCACTTTACACTATAATAAACGAAATAACTTCTCAACGGTGACTATTTACTCGTTTTTTTCAGTCACTTTAACTTTGCAGAATTACTGAGCTGTGTTTCAAACCCTAGAGAGCTGCCTAACTAGAAAGCAAAAGCTTCTGAAGGCAGCTCACCAGGTTTTATGACACAGAATCTGTGTTGTCTGACTAATGTTTTCTTATTTCTGAAGGATGGCAGGTTAACTTTTTCTCCAGGCAATAAAGTTGTACAGCTGCCTTACATCAATTATATGAGGGAAATGGGTGCTGTTTTTCTTAACTTGTACACTAATTCACCAATCTGCTGTCCTTCTAGGGCAGGTATAGTATTAGTCAGCCTCTGCATATTGATATCTATTGTGTGCCAAAATGGTTGTGTGCATGCACTGTAGAAATCAGATGAATATCTTGATGTGTTTTGGCAGCTATGTGGAGTGGTCAGTTTATTCATTTGACTCAGGCCTGGAACAACTATAAATGTCTTGATCCCAATGCCACCACATGGATGGACCACTTAGCAAAGAGTGGGTACCACACTCGTAGCATGGGGAAACTAGACTACACGTCAGGACATCACTCTGTCAGGTGACTTTTGTGTAGCCCCTAAAATGTATTTGGACACTCAAATATACACTTTCATTTCAAAAGTGGGTTGGCCAGATTTTTCATTGTCTTTGAAATAGATCTCACCAAGGCTGTATTACAGTAAATACAGTAAAATGCTAATATTGTGAAATATTATTACTATTTAAATTAACTGCTTTCTATTTGGATATATTTTAAAATGTAATTCATTTCTGTGGTATAAAAACTAAATTTTCAGCAGCCTTTACTCCAGTCTTCTGTGTCACATGATTCCAGACATCATTCTAATATGCTGTTTTAGCATGTATTGAAAATTATGAAACAAATATACCGTTTTAAATATAGTCAAAAAACTGTTTTGACGTCTGGAACTTGTTCAGTAATCGTGTGGAGGCGTGGACCAGAGACGTTCCATTC